TGCAGACTGTTTAGAGTGCAAACAAGTCCAGACTGGCTTTCTGTCTTCAGACCTGTTGCTCCTGGAAAGTTGCAGGCTTGTAGACAGAAATCAACTTTAAGATTTGGCCGGATAAAAAAATCTCACAGTTTTATCAAACTGAAAGAGAGTGTTTTTGAAGTTAATTTATTCGATCAGATACGTATGCGGCATATGTTAAAAGTACCAAAACTACCAGGAGACTAGTGTAGATATCCTAATGTCATTGACGTTACTGGAATACTCCTCATGCCTGGCGCAGATATGTCAGGACCCTTCGATTCCGGATACCTGTCCGAAATGTTTGAATGATATTCAGTCACCCTATCATACTCCCAGTTTCGTCGGTATACAGACTGAAAATGAAGAAAAGACTGTCTGTCGAACAGCTCATGTTCGCTTTCTTAATAGCTTTTACATAGTTGCTCTATCAGTCCCTTCATTTACAAAAGCTCGTAGCACAGCATTTAACTACAATCCGCTGAAAACTTTTTCCTAAAAGACGAATATAAGGTAAAGAGCGAATTTTAGTAATTGTTTTAGTGCGAATACAGTATACACTCAACATTATGTAATTTGCGGTTTGTACAATTACCAAAAAAGAAAAAACAAATAAATCAAAATGCATGGAGAGTCGGAAAGAAAAGACACGTGGAAGAATGACCGGATCTGAGAGGGGAAGCGCAGGAAGCATTCATCGGCAATGAATACAGAATAGTGTGATTTCTCGCGAACGATGAAATGGGAAGGAGTGAAATTCAATTACCTGAATAATCATCTGTTTCCTCCTAATTGCATTTGCGATAATTTCGTTTTCCGCAAAAAAAGTATCGATCTTTGGATGAATCGCTGTACTCATGCAGAATGTGGTGCTGCGAGGCAAGGATCTTAACGTTGACATTGAATTGTTCCGAGCATTTTGTACTCTCTCCTCCCGTGCCCCTTTCTCCAAAGCATGTTTTCGAAGATGCTGGCAAAATTTTACTAATGTAGAATTACACGAGCATATCATTCCGTCCTGCCCCTTTCAGTTGGGGTTGGGTGAACAGGATGAGGCTAGTACTTCCAAGCACGATTTAATTTGTTCAGAGTTTTTCCCACCTCTATTTTCACACAACTGTTGCGTAACTGAGTATGAAATGATATGCAATATTCAAATACTTTCGACATACTCTGAGAAAAACTTCTCGATAATAATCAAATTATGAAATTACCAACAAGAATGAGAGCAAGCACATTGAACAGTGCGTAAAAAGAAATGTAAGAAAAGCAGCGATAGGGAGGGAAAGATGAGGTGGGAATTGGGAGGGGTGCCTCTTTTCCACGTGAGAAAGTAGAGAAAAATGCCAGTTAACAGAAAATTTTCTCAAAATATTCAGTCCAGTGATTTGCACAAGTTGTTTTGTTTCGTTCGGTTCAAAGCTTGTTTTTACTCAGTTTTCTCTGACTTGATCCTCTCTCAGCTTATTTAGTAATTTTATTTATTGACGACTGATCTTACCAGTTTAACAGCATTCTGAGTTGGTTATGCCATAATGTACAATACTGATGCTAAAGGCGCTGAATAGGCAGAGCAACGGGAAGAAGGGACGGAAGTGGGGACAAGAAGAAAAGGACTGTGATGCCTCGATAATGGTCAGTGTAATACTTAATCTTACCGCAGAATGATGTGAAAGGAAAAAAAAAAGAAATTAAACTGTTAAAAACGTATTTATACGAGTTTAACCTGCATTGAATTATGCTTAAAAATTTCAAGTCTCAAACTGCTTTCGTCTCCGAGCAACGAAATTTGACAAAATTTGATTTGTAGTTATGAGTCAATGCTCAAGAGATGACGACAGTTGATTTAGGATTGAAGTACAGTTCTAGGGCTGTGCATTCAAATTTTGGGTTTTTCAGCCTTTACAATTCTAAAATTAGACACAATATGCATAGTCGAATTCATGCAACATGCACTTCGTGAAGATCGTGCAAAAAATGCACCAAACTTATCAGGATGGAATTCAAAACCCGCCAATATTGGAAACGCACGAAAATGTGGCACATAGAAACAGTTACGTAACCCAGGCTGAAACGCAAAAGGCTCTCCGGTGCGATTATGCGTTTTTGCAATAAACTCGCAGATCGCTACTAGCAGAAATGATCCCTACGCTGTAGCTTAACACTTGGGACATAATGGCATGCTTTGATCCTTTCCGGCATGCAGGAGGAAGGGCGTCAATTGGGATGAAGGTGGTTTATAGAGCCGCACGGGCATCCAGGTGCATGATTACTGGTTTTTTGCATGAGGTTCGGTCGTTTTTTCGGTAAATGCTCGCTTTATGAAAAAATGACAAATGCAAATTTCTTGGAAAAATGCAAATTTCCAGTTCATGAACGAATTGGAAGTGTTGCTCGAACGGTCGTTTGTTAAGAAATCCATGTTCATTTGCATGTACAATTGCGGTTCGGGTCCGGGTTGGCAACGATTTTTGGGTTGAGGAGCTGCTTGAGGCTGTATAGTTGGGGGGCTCGACAGTTGAGTTTAAAATCTTTAACTCGCACGTGCATAGAGAATATCTCTACAAAGTTTCAGCTTTCTACCTTCCTGGTTCGCGAAATCGTTTCCTGCCAACATATTTCATTGGGGGTCCCGTACGCAGGGTCTAGGTGCGTATGAGAAAAATCTTAAAACGGGAGGATGACACACGGGGTAGGAACATATATCCAAACTTTCAGCTCCCCAGCTTTCCTGGTCGCTGAGATGAAAGTGGATGACAAAATGCACTTGCTTCCGAACACACGTACACAGACAGCCTCCCGACAATATACGTTTTTGCTGGCTGTAGCAGCGCTATAGCGCTATAGCGCTGCACAGCAAAAATGCGTAAAAATGTCAGTAAGTTTACTTATTGGGTTTAAGCAGAATTATTATAAACGCTATTCAAGGAGTGCATATCAACTAAAGGTGAGATATGCTGGAAATATTAAAGTCTGAAACGTAAAGAATATATGAAAAATTAATAATTTAGGTGAGATTGAGATGACGTTTCGGTTCATACATCTTAACTGAGCGCTACAACTGGACCTCACCGGTACAACGGTTTTGATATAAATTACTGGTATACAATAAATGAAAAAAGTTAGAGATCAATGAAGTGAGATAAAAGGAATGAAGTAAGATGGTCGCCTCAGTTCACATTTGGAGAAGTAAATTTTGCGCGAATTACTGCAAGAAAAGCTACTAAATTCAGACAC